GGGCAACTATTAGAATCCACTTTCCCTCTCTTATATAGGTAGTCCCTTAGGTAACAGTGCCCTAGTTTAAGTTGGTAAAAAGCGCTAGAAATCTCTCTTCTAGTATTGCTAGGAATAGCGATTTGCTTTCTTATCTTCTACTTGTATTTTGCTGCGTACGTATGTGGATTCTTGCTAGTGGCTTTTTTCCTATACTGTTCAAGTTGGCTTAGCCATTCTCTCTCTCCTAGCTGCTTAATTCGCGAGCTAGTAATAGCTAGGCTAGTTTTGCTAGTAGAAGGAGGGTCTAGCTTAGTAGCTTCTTTAGCTAGGGCGTCTGCTTTTTCGTTCCCAGGGATATCTTGGTGGCCTGGTACCCAGTAAAGGCTAGGGCGTATACCTATCTCCTCTAGTTTCTTTGTTGCCTTTATACATCTAATTTGCCATTCTTGGCCTAGATTATTAGAAGCAGTCTTTAACCTAAGTAGAGCAGCTTGATTATCTGCATAGACTTTTATATCTAAACAGTTCTCTACTAGCTCTATTGCTTTTTCTAGCCCTAGGGTAATACCTTCTAGTTCACCATTGTAAACTAGTTGGTTATTTCCTATAGTATATTGTTCTTGGGCTATTTGTGTTGTTCCTAGATAGAATGCAACCCCTACTCCTACACCTTTGCCTTGCTTTGTAGCTAAGGCATCAGAATAGATAGATAAGAGGCTGTTATCTACTAGTTGTTCCTTGTAGTTCTTTGCTTCTATATCTTTAGGCTCTTTAGATATATAAACCTTGTATAGGATATTTGAGTTCTAAGGTGTAAAGGCGTAATGTTGTATCTCCTTAGTGTTTCTAGCAAGGACTGTGGAGATAGATCTAGTGATCTGATCTAGTTGTTCCCCTTTATTGCTAGTTATAGCAATATTAATTGGGTAGTTTAGGGCTAGTTTTTGAGCTCTAAAGGCGTATTGTCGAAGAGCGTTGTTTAACCTTACTCTAGGTAGGTAGAGGCAGGCCTCTACCTCACTAGGTATAGTTGGGGAGGTCTTAAATGTGCCTAGAATCTTCCTACACGCTCTATTTTGTAGTAATTGCCTTTGTTTAAGAGCTAGTTGTTGTTGTTTCTAGAAGATCTAACAACTATAGTCTGCTACGCTAGTAATGCAGGCAAGGTATAATTGTCTAAAGGCTCTAGGTGATAGGCCTTTATTGCTATTTGCTAGTCTGCTTAGCTAAGTAAAAGCTTAGTTGGCCTGTTGATTTCTAATAAAGCAGTGATCCTTAAACTTAAGGGCTTTGTCAAAGTAGATGCCTAGCCATCTAATTTGCTGTTTTAGTTAAAAGGTCTCCTAGGTGGGTAGTGTGAGAGAATCTTGATCCTTTTTTGATCTAGTCCAATTTACTAGTTCAGTCTTTAAGCTATTAAATTTGATTGCTAGCTCCTCTGCTAGGTTAAAGAGTTTTTGGGTCTCTTTTTCTAGTAATTTAATATTTTTCTTAATAGATGTTGTAGATACTAATATCTATAGGTCGTCTATATAAGAAGAGGAGTAGATATTTCTATTTGTTATAATTAACTAAAATAGTAGTTTTGTGTAGATTAAAAATAGGATTAGAGAAGCGGGGCTGCCTTAGGGCGTACTAGTGTTTACCTCCTGTAGATCTTCTACTTGGCCATCAAAGGATAGCTCTAGTAGTCTGTTTTCTAGGAAGGATTTAGTCTAGGATAGCAGGCAGCAAGGAAGTCCTTGATCCTTTATATTTTCTAGTAGCTTGTTTTTAGCCACGTGATTAAAGGCTCCTTTTATGTCTAGAAATATAGTTGTAGTAATCCTATGCTTCTTTTTCTGCTGCTGTATATTATTATAGAATAGGAGAGCAGCGTCAATTGCTAATTTCTTTAATCTCCCGCCTAACTGGGTAGGGTGGAGTAAGTCTGTTGTTTCTGCTAGTGCTCCTAATCGTCTTGCAAATAGTCTTTCTAGTACTTTCCCTAGGCAGCTTAAGAGTGAGATAACTCTATATGCCTTTGGGATAGAGTAGTCTAGCTTTCCAGGTTTCTTTAGAATAACTCCTTTAGCTTTTCTCTAGCACTTTAGTTGGTAGCCAAAATTGAATAGAGCTAAATATATCTTAAAGAGTAATTCTAGCTGTGCCTAATAGACTTTTTAGACTATATCCTGGCTAATTAAATCTAGTCCTGGCGAGGTAGCTTTTACGCTTACGCAGGCGAATTCGAGCTCTTCTTTTGTTAAAGCTGGCCACTCCCATTTACTATCTCCTTTATAGGTATTTAGTAGTGGGGCTGGAGTAGATGGTGGTGGGGGGAAGAGATCTTCTCTAAAGGCTTGGCATTTTTCTCTAAAGGTCTCCTTGCCTTTAATAGTAGGTATCCTTATAGATAGGTTGTCTTTTGTGTATTATTATTATTATTATTCCATTAGAGTCTATCTGCAGTCAGTGACTATGTAAGACTTTGGCCAGAGGCCGTTCTAGGTACAATTTGTTTAAAGTGAGAGTGTTCTCTGTATAGTACTGCTATTGTGCTGCGGTTTAGTCGCTTCTAGCTGCGCTTAAAGCAGACTCTAGTTGCTGAAGAGCAGTTTAGTAAACAGGAAGAGATGTTAGACAGCAGGGCTGTCTTCCAGCGAGCTCTTTTAGGGCTAAGGAAAGTAACTTAAGAAAGTTTGTTAGTTATTATTGGTTTTAGGTAGTGTCTCTCTGTTCTCGCTTATTTTTAGTTATCTTGTTCTTGGCCTAGATGCCAGCCTCTAGTCCCTACTCTAGTTTTAGCAATGAAAGCTAAAGTCGCCTCTCTGCCTTTGCTAGTGTGGAGGAGTAGTTGGATTGTTAGGTAGTTCTCGCGAAGAGTTGCTTTTAGCGCTTGCCTTTCTATGTTGTAGTGCCAGCAGTATAGGAGAAGGTGATCTGGTGTCTGTACTCTCCCACAATCGCAGAGGTTTGAGTTTCTTCTTTTCACTCTCTCTAGATAGGCGTTAAAGTATCCGTGGCCTAGCTTGAGAGAGAAGAAGGCGCTAGAGATTTCCCTTGGCGTACCTCTTGGGATTTGGATTGCCTTAG